CTGATTTGATGGAGAAGTTGCCGTCAGAAGAAGGTCTCCAAACAAGAATATCATTATCTCAATGAGGGTTAGGCGACTGGACAAGCAAAGTGGATTTAGTGTACGTTTAGTTTTTAGTTTGCCAAAAGTTCATTTGGTGAAAGTCAATTTAATGAAAGTCAGTTGTTGTAATGAAATTTGTGTTTGGATATATTTTTTCAAAAGTCAGTTTGATACATTAAAAGTTATTTAGTTTGTGATAGTGAGATGTGCTTTTAAATGTACAATTACCAAAAAGGACACTGATTTATAATGATTTATAATTTTTATTATACAAATGTAATATATTCAAAATATTTAAAAAATGTAATAAAGATTATAAATAACATAAATTTTGATCTATAATGCTAAAAATTTGATCTCTAATTATTTGTATTTTTTAATTTGTAATTTTAAAAGATGTAATAAAGATTTGTAATTTTTATTATACATTAATGCTAAAAATTAACATGATTAATTACTCAATTTATAATACTAAAAAAATTGATACCTAATTATTATTATTAAAATAATAATTATATTTTTAATGAATTAACTATTTTTTAAATAAAAAAAGAGATTAAACTAATATGGTCAAATAACATCCTACTTTTCAAATCCACTTTTCAAAAGCTTCAAATAGTTACGTTTCAGAAATCCACTTTCAGCTACTGTTTGAATGTACTTTCAGGATGTGCTTTTCTGCCAAATATTCTACCCAAACAACTTTCAACTTTCTGAAAGTGAAATTTTGCTTTCTGAACGTGAAACGGAGGAAAACCAAACGGACCCTTAATCACATCTGGGGGTAGATAACACTTTAATTTATCAATGTGCCAACCTCCTGAAGCTGCGCAAAAATTAGAGACTTTGGCATGAAGGATGGCTTCAGCTTTAGGATAAGCATATATGACAAGAGGCTCGGGGAGAAGTGACCACCTTTCATACCAAAAAGATATTTGATCTCCTTCGCCTACTATCCAACCAACATTGATTTTAAAAGTATCCCAAACTTTACAAACACTAATCCATGTGTAAGGTGATAAATTTGGTTTGTAAATCATAAGGATAAAGGGTTTGTTACATTTGTATTTATCGTGGACAATCTGAACCCAAAGATAGTTGGTCTTAGTAATAATGCCCTAGCATAGCTTCATGATGAAAGCAATATTTTAGTTTTTTATTCTCTTAAACCCAAGGCTGCCATGTTTCTTATCTTTAGTGATCTTATCCCAAGAGAGAAAATGCGGTTTTTTTGCTCCATCGGAAGAGTCCCAGAGGAAGTTTCAGGAGCTTTTGTCTAATTTAGAAAGAACATTATCGGGGAGGAGCATAATTTGCATAATATAACTCGGAAGATAAGAGAGCACGGACTTAATGAGGACAGATTTTCCTACAATATTGAGATAACGGCTCTTCCAAAAAGATAAACGAGAATTTATTTTTTCAATAAGAGGAGCAAATGTTAACTTAAAAGCTTTTTCATGAAGAATATGAATCCCAAGATATTTGCCAAGATTTTCGGTAAGGGGAATTTCCAATTCATTGTTGAGTTGTAAGGCTCTATTAATATTGATGTTTCTGGAACAAACGAGTTTAGATTTATCATAGTTGATTTTTTGTCCAGAAGCAATACAAAAATCATTAAGACATTTACAAATGATCCCAGCTTGTGTGAGAGAAGCATCTGCAAAAAGTAACAGATCGTCAGCAAAGGATAAATGTGAGATAGGAGGTCCATTAGTTGTTAGATTAATGGGCTTCCAATCTCTGTATCAATACTACTATAAATGCAATGAGCGTTCAATGTAAAGTACAAACAGATAAGGAGAAAGAGGATCCCCCTGTCTGATGCCACGTATAGGTTTGAATTCTTTAGATGGTTCACTATTTCAAAGGACTTTCATGCAAGGAGAAGAGACCGCTGCCGTGATGATCTTCATAAAATGAGAATTTATGCCTATAGCTTGAAGAGTATCTTCAATGAAAGCCTAAAAAAGTCTATCAAAAGCCTTTTTAAGATCAATTTTGAGAGCCATGAAGCCTCTTTTCCCAACTTTACTTCTCATGGAATGTATTACTTCTTGGGCAATAATAATATTATCACTGCTCTATCTACTTTGAATGAAGCTATATTGGTTATCCCCAATAAGATGATTCGTATAAGCTCTAAGATGGTTGGAGATGATTTTAGTTATGATTTTGTAGTTCATGTTATAGAGAGAGATTGGCCGAAAGTCTTTCATACAAGTAGGATGATCAAGTTTAAGAATAAGGGTAATGAAGGTATCATTAATGTTCGTAATGGTATTAGGATCTCTAAAGGCTGACTTAATTAGTTTGAATATGTTATCCTTGATATCCTCCTAATGAGTATGAAAGAAGTTAGCATTAAGACCATTAGGACTAGGCGCTTTAAAAGCTCCAATGTCAAAAGCAGCAGATTTAATTTCTTTTTCAATCACTTCCCTATAGAAAGAAAGAGATTGGTCATAGGTTAATGGTGGAAAAGTTATTTCAATACAAAACTTGGGGTTTCTCTGACTATCTTCCTTGAAGAGGTTTTCAAAATAAGAGATGGCCAAGTTCTTAAGAGAGAATTGATCGTGAATCCAGTTGCCATCATTATCTTTGAGTGATAGGACTTGATTCTTTTTTCTTCAGATGATAGTAGAGGCATGGAAGAACTTTGTATTCTTATCACCCCATTTTAACCATTTGCATCTAGATTTTTGATACCAAATTAATTCCTCTTGAAGAAGAACTTTATTATAGTCCTCCTAAAGGGATTTTTCCAGTTTCTTGAGAAAATAGCTGTCCTTAGAGCTTCTATTTTTATCAATCCCTTCAAGTCTTCTTAAAATTCTTCTTCTTTTTTTTTTTTGCAAAGATACTACCAAGACTATTCTTATTCCAATCGGCAGCAAGTTTAGCAAACTTCAGAGTTTCGTTTGTCCAATCATTATCACACTAAGAATCTTTGACAAGAGTCTTAAAGGAATCTTCTAAAGACCATACGGCATGGTATTTGAAGGGTATTGCATGAAGATTGGAAACATAATTCTTGCTGAGTTGAATGTGAATTGGTCGATGATCCGAACCAAATTTAAGAAGATGATGGCTGTTTGCATTAGTGAAAGAAAGTCTCCATTCCGTATTGTAGAAAGCCCAATCAAGCCTTTCTTTTATGCTACCTTTTTCCCAAGTAAACTTTTCTCCACTAAAATTGAGCTCAAGAAGGTTGGAAAGGTTGATGCATTGTTTAAAGAGCTTCATAGATTTCTAGTTAAAACCATTGCCACCATGTTTATCTTCACAAGATAGGTAAGCATTATAGTCACCAACAAGAAGCCAAGGTTCATTAGTGATTTTGGATAAGTTGATAATTGATTGCCAAAGTTCATCACGATTATAGGGATTAGGATCCCTATAAATACAAGATAAAGGGTAGGAAGTGTTGTCATACGGGATGTTGACTTTACAACGAAGCAACTGGACATTAGAGTATAAGTATTCAATATTAACTACATCATTATTCGAAAGTAACCAAATACCTCCAGTATAATCGGTGGCCTCAACATGAATCCAATCAGAGAATCCCAATTTTCTAACAATTTTATCAGCTCTAGCACCACTAGCTCTGGTTTTGAGTAAAATAAAAATTTAAGCATTATATCTATTAGAAATTTCTTTAACCCTGGAAGGAAAACTTTTAGCACAAGAACCTCTACAATTCCAACCAATAATATTCATGGAAAAAATAAATAAAAGCGAAGAAAGAACCTGGAACGCTGATTAACCACGGATATCAGACTGCATTTTCTCATTCTGATCATCGCTAAAATCATCATCTTCAAGATCCTCATTAATAGGAGTATTCTCAAAGTCTTATAGAGCAAATCATCATCTATGTCTTCATTTTCAATATACTCATCTTCAACAGAATTAATGTATTCTGAGACCTTAGATTTTTACTATGGTTATCCATGATGGTGTCATCACTCATTTGTGTCTTTGGAATAAAGCTGGGTGAGGAGTCAAGATCAAGAGGCTTTCTTTGTGAATGATTGAGAGTCAGCATTTGGTTATCAACATTGCTAATATTCTAAACCTTTAAATTCAGCGAGTAAATGTTATTTGCTGCAGTCAGGTGTCGTTTACGGGCTCAGAAGCACTAATGGCTTTCTCCTTGTATTTTTCGTTGATGGGTTGAGAATGAGAGCCCAAATTCTTTCTATTTCCTTTAATGACCGAGTATAGCCTTTTTGTGGACTTTCCTAGTGCGCAATTGGGCTTGGTTAATGCGGTTATTGCTTCTTTGTCTTTCATAATTTCAATGTTTATAGAGTTTGGGCCTTCCCAATTAAATCATGGCCCAACTAGTTTTTTCTTGTTTCCCTTATCTGTGCTAAAAAGCATTTCCATATCTTCAGTCGGTTCTTCTTTGTGATCGCAAGACCGCTCTGTCCGATCATCATTCACCTCACTCTGTCTCGCCTTCTTAAACCTAGATAGGTCCTTCTTTCTCCACACCTTCCTGACAATGTTGCTGGCATGATTCATTGAGGGCTTATTTTGTTTACTCCTGGTATTGTACCTTTTATACTCGCCATCACTGACTTGCTCAAAAATAACAATTTTAAATAAGCCTATTGTTTATGTTTTGTTCTTGGGTTGGAATTCTGATTTTGGTTGCTATGATTTTAACTGTAATTTGTTTTTTCTTTTCTATATTATTTTTTCTGAGATAATTTTTATTTTATGAAAATATTTAGATGTTATTTTTTTTGAGTTTATTTTTATTGATGGAATATTAATGATAATTTAATTTTAATTTTGATTTGGGCGGTGGCTTTATTTCTTCAATATGGGTACGGAAGGGATATTATTGTTTATCCTACTATTAATCTACAATAATCCGACGGATTATCAATCATCAATCAATATTAATATCAATAATATCACATACAAATCTATTCCAACCAAGCTGGATGGAACAGCGGCTCCAGACTGAAAACACTATTCATCGGCTTTAGGAACAGTGACGGCTCTAGCCCTAGCTAGTCTGTTTGGTCAAAGCATGGTGGTCTGGCCTGTTTCCAGCCTCTCCCTCCCTTCCAAAATCCTCATCAAACTTTTCCTCTTCTCTGTTTTCTTTTCCTCCCTTCCCCGCTCCGGCAGCAGGATTCTGCAGCTGCTAGACACTGACCTTCATGAAAAAGTCAAGACAGTGGCGACTTCTTCATTCCCTTTGAAATCTCAGCTAGGTAACTCTTCATCGCCTTGTATCTCTTCTTCTCCTTTTTTTTTTTGGCTGATTGGCTGTTTGAAGTATTTTGGCTTGAAAATGGAGCTGCATTCTCTTTGTACTTTTTTTTTCATGCTAATATGTGATAAATGAACCACGTTTTAACTTTTATTTATTATCATGTTTCTGTTGATTGTCTGCTTAGCTCCTGACAGTTCGCTCAAGTTGTTCTGCTGTTTGGTGTGATGCCTTCCATGGCTCAAGGAGGATTCAGAAACTTTACCGGCAACCAGAAGCCTGGCAGTAAATTATCCAATGAAAATCAGAATCGTCAAACTGATTTCCCTTCCCGGTAAAATTTTCTATAAATATGAAATATTCAATCTTTCTTTTGAATCCAGCTGATAGATTAATCATGGCTGGAATTTCTATTCAGAGCCACTTGAGCTAAATGTTTGAATGTTGTGGCACTAGTTTCTATTGCAAGTGAGTCAAAATAGGTTTAGGGCTTTATTATATTGATTGCCTTGGTATTATCTGTAAATATACTTCTTGTTATGCAGGAGACAGAAGATTTTACAACAAAGGAAGTCACTTCCTATTGCTTCAGGTATTGGGTCGAGATTATTTTTGGTGCCTTTTACGTTCTCAATTATACTTTCTTGTAAACTTAACATTATCCTAACTGTTGCCATTTAGTTGAGAAAAGACTTGTTGAAGAGGTGCGAAAGAATGATATTTTGATAATCGTTGGTGAAACTGGAAGTGGAAAGACCACACGTAGGTTACATTTTTATCCTCGTAAATATTATGGTTATTTTTGTTATAAGCTTTGTGATTTTCCCATCTGTTTACTGGAATACAGAAGCTAGATAAAGATTATGTTTTTAGTGTGTTGCGATGATTACATGATTTGCTTTAAACTGTGTAGAGATCCCCCAATTCCTGTTTGATGCTGGATTTTGTCTTGATGGGAAAGTTATTGGGATAACTCAACCCCGGCGTGTTGCTGCTGTTACTGTAGCAAAACGGGTTTCTGAGGAATGCGGTGTTGAATTGGGCCAAAGGGTTGGTTACTCTATTAGATTTGATGATGCTACTTCAAGTTCAACAAGGATTAAATACATGACAGATGGGTTGCTTCTGAGGTAAAACCGTTGTATAACTTTAGATTTCATTTTACTTATTGATCCTTTTTTGGCTGTCTCTTTAGCCCTATGTCTCTTATTCTTATGAGGTCTTCCTCCACTAGCAGGTTTTTTCGGCAAACTTCATTTAGTTTGATGCAGATGGCAGGCTGGCCTATATTCCTAAGTTTCAATAGGACTCCTTACGAGCGTTGGTTCTATATACTATTATCTAAAAGTAATACTGTTGGGGTGTAATTTAACAGTTTGCTATCATACAATTTTCATTTTTATTTGGCTCTCCAAATATAAAAAAGGGGAATGGAGTTGACATGAGGGCATGGTTGTGATCTTTTTATCCTTTTCCATCAGATTGACAAATGAATGTCTCATTGATGAACATTTTTTTATAAGCTTTTAACTTTTCATTGGGTGTAAATTTATTAATGGTTTGATATCATACAATTTTCATTTTCATTTGGCTCTCCAGATATTTTTTTTTTGGGGGGGTGTTCAGGAGAGGGCATGGCAATGATCTTGCTATCCTTTTCCATTAGATTGACATATTAACCTAAAAACCAAATACTAAATATGCATTGATAAACATTTTTGATAAGCTTTTACTTTTCATGTCATATGTCTTAAGTTGATGAGATTGAAGAAGTGGTTTTTTTGAGGGGATAACCTTCCCGTTTAGCACTCTTGTTTAATAGTTTTTTAATATGGATACGTGGTTTAAATTAGTTGAACAAGCTTCATATCAAATATATTCTTTATCGTAGTATTAAAAGTAAATTTCATTGAGAATGCTGATATGCCTCTCGTTGTGCTTGCAGGGAATCCTTGTTGGATCCATTTCTTTCCAAGTATTCTGTTATAATTGTTGATGAAGCCCATGAGAGAACTGTACACACTGATGTCTTGATTGGCCTGCTTAAAAATGTGCAACATGCTCGTTCTGATATTCTTTCTGACGGTCAGAGCCTTAACTCTGAAAACAAGAATGTAAAGAGTGGCATGTCATTGGAGAAAGAAAATGGTGGTCAGCGTGGCAGTTTTCTTAGGAAGCACAATAACAGAAATTATGCTCCACTGAAGCTAATCATTATGTCTGCAAGCCTTGATGCGCGAGTGTTTTCTGAGTACTTTGGCGGTGCAAAAGCTGTTCATGTTCAAGGGAGGCAATTTCCTGTTGATATATTTTACACTCGCCATGCAGAGGCAGATTATTTAGATGCTTCCTTGATAACAATATTCCAGGTTATTGGTTCACTTGGTCTGCACTATTTAATTCCTTCTTTCCAGAAATTTTGGGTGATTAGGTGCTTTAATTCTTCATTTGCTATGTTCATTTTTGGTTTTCATTTACAGTTTGATCTCTCCTTATGATGTATAATTTTTTTAAGCCTTTTACTATGTTACATCAGTCATTCAAATTATTATGCTTAACATTGCATATATTTTAGACTCATTATGATGAGGACTTATAAATGAAGTTCTTGGTCTTGTTCCTTAAGTTCATGATCTTCGGTATTATAGATTCATTTGGAGGAGGGCCCTGGTGATATACTAGTATTTCTGACTGGGCAAGAAGAGATTGAATCTATTGAAAGGCTCATAAATGAGCGACTCAAGCAGTTACCTGAAGGCAGCCAGAAGCTTCTAACTGTGCCTATATTTGCAGCTCTTCCTTCTGAGCAGCAAATGCGAGTGTTTGCACCAGCTCCATCTGGATTTCGCAAGGTATTTTGGTGATCATCTTCATATTATAAATTAAATGCTGGTTCAATATATTTAGGGCATTTATAATATTTGTGTAATGCCTATTTCTGATATGCTAATTTTCTTTCCGGAAGTTCTTTGGGCACTTGTTCTGTATAATCATAATCCCTCCTTTTCTTTGTTGATTAATAGCAGAGTATCTTACTCTTAGCCTTAAGTACACAATATGTGTGGCATTTCTGTCACTTTCGACGTGACAGCCTTTGAAAATTGAAATCATTTTCACTTCTGTTTTGAGTTCTAACAATATCCTTTTTTCAACTTCTTTGCTACTGCTTTCATCATCGAATCACTTTGATTGTGTTTTGGTAGCTAACCTACCCAAATGCTCCTGTCAGTATTTCTCCATACTAAAGTGATAACTGTCATTCAATTGTTTTACTGTCGTGGAAGAGCTACAGCAACTGTTTCCATCTTTGCCATCACCTGCTATGTTTTATCCCTTTTCTTCATGACTGCTCCTTTTGGAGTTATGTCTTCTCTGCAAGCTGATATTATCAGTAGTAATAGGTGGATATACACAGCAATTTTTGCCAAATTTTTGCTTCATAACTTGAGTATCACCTATTTTGTGTTAGTTATCATATATTTTAATTTTTTAATTAACTTGAGATTTTTATCAATAAACAACATTACATTATTTGTTCTTAGAGCATACCGGTTTTTCTTCTGTAATTTTTTACCATATTGTAGTTCTTCATTTTTAACTCAGCTCTGTTCTTGAAGGTAATATTAGCAACTAATATTGCTGAAACATCAGTAACAATTCCTGGAATCAAGTATGTAGTAGATCCTGGATTTGTTAAAGCACGCACTTATGACCCTGGCAAAGGAATGGAATCTTTGGTTGTGGTACCTACATCCAAGTCCCAAGCTCTGCAAAGGAGGTGCGTTGCTACATTTATGCTTGGGAGCATTTGATATGGTTGACTGTTGCTGCAAGTGTTATTTTGTTTAGTTCAATGAATGGGCATCAAACAATTTTAGTAAAGTGAACTTTTGAATTCCAAGTAATACATGGTATTGTTTGGCGTGGTCTTTTGGGGTGTGAATGTAGCTTTAGTGTTTCAAAAGATATTTTGTTGTTTAATTTGGTCGTAAGCAGATACATGTCCAATTTTATTATTGCTTTCAGGTAAATTTAGAATAGGATTTTTGTATAATGTGTAACATTTTCTGCTCAGTTAACTTTTGAACACATTCATCATATTTAGTGGCTCATTTGGTCTCTTCCCATTTACATTAGTTTTATGTGAAACTTACTGTTAGCTTAGCTCACTCAGCTCAGCTCAATTGAAATGATGGATGAAGACGATATATTATTGATTGAGTGGATCAGAAGGATTATTGACTTCTTGGTATTAGTGGGCGTGCAGGGCGTGAGGGACCTGGAAAATGTTTTCGTCTCTATCCAGAAATTGAATTTGAGAAACTCGAGGACTCAACAAAGCCAGAGATTAAGCGATGCAACCTCTCCAATGTTATTTTGCAGCTTAAGGCTTTAGGTGTTGATGACATACTAGGGTTTGATTTCATTGAGAAACCTTCAAGGTGAAAACCACTTGAGAATTTTGGTTTGACTGCTTCCCTTTTGTATATTTGTGGATACTCTTATGCTTGCAAATTTTTTAATGAGTTTTTATCGCTTAACCTCATCAGGGTAAGATTGTAGGCTAAATCAGATTTGGTACAATATTGTGAAAGCCACACGGACATTTTTGTCATTACAGCATTACCTGCGGAGAACATTACAGTGATCAACATATGCTATAATTTGCAAAAGGATCCATTAATTGCTACTGTGGTTAATCTTCTTGTGGATTTGTTAATGGGTCATTTTTGCATAAATCACTACATTTTGGTCCTTCGTTATAATTCTCCCTTACATATGTAGTGCTGTCTCCAGTTTGGTTGTAAATTATTTGCCAAATTTGATACCCTTTTTTTTTTCTTTTCTGAAAGAGGCTTCTGGGTAATAGATCAGTTCCTTTAACTAGATCTGACAAGTGAATATATCTTAGTGAAATTAGTGATTATGTAAATGGTGGGTAAAAATATTGAAACTTATTTTGTTTCTTTTTAATACTCAACGGTCATATATCATGCTGCAGAACTGAATTAGTATTCTTGATAGATCTTCAATGATATTTGTGATTGTTGTTTCTTAAAGTCAGTTTTACAACCTCAACTTCTGGTTCAAAAAGTTTTTACAACCTGGACCATTAGTCAAAGCTCACGTCTCACATGTTTGAACAGGGCAGCTATCATCAAATCATTGGAGCAGCTATTCTTGTTAGGTGCTCTAACAGATGACTGTCAACTATCTGATCCAGTTGGAATTCAAATGGCTCGGCTTCCCTTGGACCCTATTTATTCTAAAGCTCTTATTTTAGCTAGTCAGTTTAACTGCTTGGAGGAGATGTTGATAACCGTTGCAATGCTTTCTGTGGAATCCATATTTTATGCTCCCCGTGATAAGTTAGAAGAGGTATAAAGATTGGTCGTGACACTACCTAATGTGTTGTGATCATTTTCTATCTGATGTTTGGATGAAAGTAATTTGAACATCACAATGAATCAGTGAATAATGTACTATTGTGCTAGCTTATTGATCACATAACCACAGTATTTGAAATTGTTGTGTGGGTTGTTCAAATACATGAAATTGATTATAGAAATCTTAGTCTGAAACTGTTTCCTTACTCCATATCTAACGCCTGCTGATTATTTTGGTTTATTGTTGTGCTTCTACCCTTTTGACCAGGCAAGAACTGCAATGAAATGCTTCTCAAGTCCAGAAGGAGACCACCTTACTTTGATTAATGTGTACCGGGCATCTAATGAGTTCCTAGAAAAGAGATTGATGGGAATGGGTAATGCCAAAAGTGAAAAGGCTCTGAGAAAGTGGTGTAAAGAAAACTTTATCAATAGCCGTTCTCTTAAGCATGCTCTTGACATTCACAAGTAGGGTCTATGATGTTTAGACCATATGTTTAATGACATTCTTTCTAGGATGCTACTGGCAATTATACATTCTCACATGTCGATCATGTTTTCTGCAGGCAAATTTCTGTGAATGTTGAACAAATGGGTTTGCATGTTGCTTCTTGTGGAGATGATACACTTCAATACCGCAGGTGCCTTGCTGCTTCCTTTTTCCTGAATGCAGCTGTAAAGCAGCCAGAGGGAACATACAGGTTAATTACATGTCTTAAATATCATTAGGCTGGCTCCTCATAGTGCCATTGTCATTTGTTGAGTGACAAGGTCAAACTCCATCCTTGGGAATGCCTTTAAGTTTTGAAATTCTTCAATCACATTTGACCTTTGCCTGAAATTTTTACCTGCTGTGATTTTGTCATGTATCGCTCTTGCTTTTGCTTCTGTAAAGATACTCTCTTACAGTAAGGCTATTTACATGACAGGGCCCTCGCAAGTGGTCAGGTGGTGCAGATCCACCCTTCTTCAGTATTATTTCAACAAAAGCCAGAGTGCATAATATTTAATGAACTGGTCCAAACAAATAACAAGTATATACGGAATGTAACCAGAATCGACTACCTATGGTTGACTGAGCTGGCTCCTCAATATTATGCTGTGCAGAGTTAAATTCTTGGTGTTGACATGGAACCGTTAAATTGCATTGCTGTTATTTGTATGTATTTCCCTGTCTTTTTTTTTCCCACACCGTCTTGGTATCACGCACTGAATTTGACAATTAACAACTATGTAATCCCCTATATAAGCTGTTAGTGTTTTTGTGAAAATGACTAACCATTGTAATATTTCTGCAGAGAAGGTGTAATTTAAATCCTTTGCTAGCGGTTGCATTTCCTCTGATTGTACGTTTGGATGGAACCCGCAGATGTACGATTGAAAAAGTATCACCCCCATTGATGTTGTTAATCCTCCCTTTGAAGCTGTCTCTTCTTGTCTGGTAGATGCATAGAACATATAAAGCTGGCCCAAAGCAGCTTCATTTGGAAAAGGATAACCTCCATTGATGTTGTTATGCCCTTCAAAGAAGAATCTGTTTCTTTGAAAGATGGAAAGGGCGAAAGATGGAAGGGGCGTATAAAGCAAGGCTGAGAGAGCACCATAACCATATATCATGAGTTAGTTTTTTCATGGTGTTATTATTTATGAGAATTTAATGTCCTCGTTTTTATTTATGACGCGTCTAGTTTGTGAAGCTAACCCTTGAAGTGACTGGTCCGAGTGGCTGCACATCTCCTTTTGAGCGTCATATCCATAGTCTTTAGCATCTTTTAGCTTGCCGCAAGGCAGGGATGAACCCAGAAATGATCGTGTTGGAGGGGAGGGAGGACTAGAACTTTATCTAAAATTTCGGTTGCAAAAATTGATTTCAATATGTTTTACAGATTTTCCTATTTATAAAGGATGGTTTAGATTATTGGGGGGCAATGGCCCCCACATGCCCCGCCTTGGATTTGTCAATGCTGCAAGGATACTGCTGGATTTGGTATCTAGCAACATAGAAGAAGATAGTGCAGGGGAATTTTGTTAGGTCATGAAATGATAATTTTACCTTTTGGTGTACACGAACAGTAAAGATCATGTAACTGGTTTATATTTAATCAGATTATGGCTTGGAGAATCTCCTCTTTTCCTTTCGAGTTTTTTTGTACGTTCAAACAACAGGTTTTCTCATTCTTAGTTTTTTTCTTGAGTTTCTAATTAAACCAATAAATTGTCAGAATGCATGTTCATGATGGAATCATTAGCATAAATTGCATTGTGTGCGCGTGCGTGCGTGGAATATTCTGCACTCAGTCTTTGGTGTTTCAATGAGTATTTGGCGGGTTACGTTCGACCAGGTCAGGTCTATGCCCTTGTCTATCAAAATTTATAGTTTGCGGCTAATGTATTGCTGATTCATGAATGCAATTGAACTGGTGATTTCTTCTACATTGATCGCCTCGGACGTGAACAAGCCTCTATTTATATATTGAAGGAGAAGGTTGGACAGCAATTGGGTAGTGGATGTGGAACCTTGTGGGTGACATTACCAATAAAATTATAAATTTAATTTACACAAATGGTAAAAAGGTAGGCGTGCAGTAATAAACTTTAGATAAAATAATTTATTAGCTTGTATTTTTAATTTATAGGAAGTAATCAATCATAGAATAGAATAAAAATTTTATTTGTATTTTTAATATGTGCGGATGTAATAATTTATAAAAAAAATAACAAGTTATTACTAGGATAAGAACTTCTAATGCATGGGTAAATGGGATAATAAATTTTGAAACAAAATATGTTGTTTAACTTTTTAATATGGACGTAATAACTTATAAAAAATAACAAGTTATTGTATGTATTTTAGATCATCTTTATTTTTTTATAATAAAAAATATCATTTTTCATTGTATGAGCATATTTTGAATTAGAAGGTAGACACTGATGACTTGAGGTTGAAAGCAAACACTAATAATCTGAGATTATAAGTGAAATTAAACTCATGAGTTTCCACTTACAAGGAATTGTACGGGTAAAAGATGTTGGAATAAATTTTTTTTAAATCCTTTTAATATGGACATTGATAGTGCATTCTAAAATAAAACTAATTTATATTTTTATATGCATGTATAATAAATTTTAGATTAGAAGATATTGCTTAGATTTTAATTTATGCGAAAATAACCATCATGAAATAACAAATTTTTCTATATAAATTTTACATGGCTTGATAACAACTTATAAAATAGTTTATGCTAAATAAAATAAGTTATGGAATAAACTAAATTATTTATATTTGAATATAATCGAGGATAACAAATTGTAAAATCAAACAATTTTTTTTACTTTTAAAAACATGCATGGAAAATAAAAAGTAATTATTTATACTTTGATTTATTTTTGTTCAGAAAATAAAAAATATAGTTATTTATACTTTTATTATTATAATTATTTATTTGCAATTATTTATATAATTATATTTTACATCTTCTAAACACTATTATTTATTATAAATTTATCAAATTAATATTTATGTAATGTTTAAATTTTATTAATTTTTAATATCTCCATACATCATGATCTCACAAGAGTAAGATCTAATCATATATTTTTTCTTTTTTTTCCCATTATATCCAATAAAAAAATCTAATTATCTAATATATAAAGTTATGAATTTTCATCCACAAGAAAAATTTCTTGTGGATTTTGGTGAAGAACATTGCAATTTTTTTTTAATACAAGGCCATAGAGATCCGTACAAAATTAGGTCAAGTCAAGTTGTATAAGAGAGCGACATTTTGGCCGAGGGTTGTCAAAAATCAAGATGTTGTTATTGTCGATCGACACTTGACAGGTAAGCTAGTCCGCATACTTGTTGGCTTCTCTAAACACATGGCTGAATTTGATGATCCAATCCTTTATGGTTGAGGTCTTTGATTTTCATTATAGTTTCATTGAAGGGATGGTCCGGGTTGTGATAATATTGAATAAGTGACAAAGCTTTAAAGGAGTTGGAGTAAACATTAACATAGGTGAATTTGTACCCCTAACAAAGAGAAAGGCTTTTAAGGATGGCCAAGAGCTCAGTGGCAATATTGGGAAGATAACCAAGGTGTTTAGTAAAAACCTTTTATCTAGTTTCCTTGGTCATCTTAGATAAGGCCACCACAGGTTGCAGCTTTATTGGTGTGGGCAGAACCATTAACATCCAAACTTACCCAATGTCTTTATCAAGAATATATTCTTCAGAATATAGATAAGAGTAGTGGTCTTTTCAAATGTTCCAACATATGTGAGCAAATAGTTTTTTTCCAAGGGGTTCCTCTAGTATTCAGGCCTCCAACATTATTGTTTACATTTTAGAGTATCCAATCCTACAAAGAAAGGAAAAAGAAAGTGTCAAGTTTACAAGACTTTACTAATTTTATCTAAAATTGCCTTGATTTAGTACAATCTTGTAAGATGTGTATGGAAGAGTCAGGGGAGTTGCAATTAAAGGGACAATTTCTTATGGCAAGATTTGTGTTTCCCGAATTGACAAATTTGGCATGGAGACGATCCGAAGTGACTTTTTAGAGGAAGAACTTGATTTTTTTCATACGTAAGCCATTTCTAGATTATAGACCAAAATTTGGAATTGGTGTTTCTCTCACAGTTCTCAATGGCTTTATAAGTAGATTTGATAGAGAAATTGCCATAAGAAGAAGGTCTCCAAACAAGTATATTATTTTCTCCATGAGGGTTGGGAGGTTGAACTAATAAAATAGAGTTGATCACATCCGGTTGGATGTAGCGATTAATTTTTTCAATATTCTAGCCCTTTATAATAGAGCAAAAATTAGAGACTCAAGCATGAAAGATGGCCTCTGCTTTAAGAGAAACATAAGTAACAAGAGGCTTCAGCAGAGGTGACCATCTATCGTACCAGAAGGATATTTTATCTTCTTTACTGACTTTCCAGCCAACATACGATATAAAGGTATCCTATACTTTGCAAATATTTTTCCAAGTATAAGAGGAGGAACTCATTTTGTTGATCATCGAGATATTAGGTTTGTTGTATTTATATTTGTCACGAAGGATTTGAACCCAAAAACAGTTAGGCTTAGTAATAATGCCCTAATAGAGTTTCATAATAAAAGCAATGTTTTGACTTTTAATTTTCTTGAAACCAGGACCACCATTCTTTTTATCCATAGTAACACTGTCTTAAGAGATAAGGTGAGGTTTTGTTATACCATCAAAGGAGTCCTAAAGAAAGCTTTAAGAACTTTTATCTAATTCAGAAATGATGCTGTCAAGGAGGAGCATAGTTTGCATAATATAACTAGGAAGAGAAGAAAGCACAAACTTTATGAGAACATATTTTCCAGCAATGTTGAGATAGCAGCTTTTCTACGAGGATAAACGAGACTTAGTCTTATCAAGAAGAGGAGCAAAGGTTAAGTTAGAAGCTCTTTCATGCAGAATAGAAATCTTAAGGTATTTGCTAAGATTTCCCGTAAGAGGGATGCCCAAATCATTGCTGAGTTGTAATGCTCTAATAATGTTGACATTTTTAGAGCAATAGAGTTCAGATTTCATATTGTTGATTTTTTGTCCTGAAGCATTGCAAAATTCATGAAGGCATTTTTGTATGATTCCAACTTGAAGAAGGGATGCATTTGCGAAAAGCAATAAGTCATCAGCAAAAAAGAGATGGAAAATAGGTAGACCATTAGTAGTTAGATTAATAGGTTTCCAATCACATTTATGATTTATTTATACTACTAAAAATGTAATGACTTAATTGTTTAATATAAAGGACAAAGAGATAAGGAGAGAGGGGATCTCCTTGTCTGATGCCTTGAGTAGGCCTGAACTTATGTGATGGTTCTCCATTCTAAATGACTCTTAAACTCACAGTTGAGATAGCTGTCATGATGATTTTCCTGAAGTGGCTATTTATTCCAATAGTATGGAGTGTATCATCGATGAAATCCTAAGAGAGTCTATTAAAAGCTTTTTCAAGATCTAGTTTGAGAGCCATGAATCCTCTTTTTCCAATTTTAGTTCTCATGGAATGAACAACTTCTTGAGTTATAATAATATTATCACTGCTTTGTATCCCTTGAATGAAACTACATTGGTTGTCCCCAATAAGGTGATTCATACACACTTTAAGATGAATAGAAATGATCTTAGTGATAATTTTATAGCTTACATTACATGGAGATATCGGGCAAAAATCCTTCATGCAATTAGGGTGATCCAATTTTGGGATAAGATTAATAAAGGAGTCATTAACCTCAGCGATTGATTTTAGATCCCTAAAAGCCTTCCTAATCAATTTGAAGACGCTTTCCTTTAGATCATCCCGGTGGGAATGTATGAAGTTGGCATTAAGACCATCAAGATCGAGTGCTTTAAAAGCTCCAATGTCAAAAATGGCGATTTTGATTTCTTAGTAACATTCCCGATGGAAGGAAAGAACTGGGTGTAGGACAAAGAAGGGAAAGTTCTTTCAGTGATAACCTTGGGTTTCTTTTGGTTATCTTCTTTGATAATATTTTCAAAGTAAGAGATAGCCAAGTTTTTGAGAGAGTTTTGCTCATTGATCCAATTGCCATTCTCATCTTTGAGAGATAAGATTTGATTTCTTTTTCTTCAGATGATAGTAGAGGCATGGAAAAATTTTGTGTTCTGATCTCCCCAATTCAACCATTTATATTTTGATTTTTGATACCAGATCAATTCTTTTTGTAGAAGCACCTTATTGTAATCCTTCCAGAGAGATTTTTTAAGTTTTTTGAGGAAATATTTATCTTTGAAATTTCCATTTCAGTCTATCCCTTCTAGTCTTTTCAAAATTCTCTTTTTTTGTAATGATACTACCAATATTATCTTTGTTCCATTTGAATGCCAAATTTGCAAACCTGGAGGTCTCATCCGTCTAATCATTACCATGCCAATTTTCATGAAAACATGAGATGACAGATACAAAGTTCATGAGCAAAGTAAAGAACTCTTGAAAATTTTCTTGTGGAGGAAAGTGCAAATATTTGTAAACTTCCATAAAAATAAGGAAGATATATGAAAAATAAGCAAGAACATTTATCAAATAAGAAAGACTACCAATTTTTTAAAAAAAAAACTCTCACAAATTTTCATGTGGAGGAAAGGGTAGAACTTTGCACATTTATTTAATTTTATTTTGTACGACCTTGGTCTTTTTACAAATTTAAGGTCCTTAAGGACAAATATTTTTGTTATTTTGTTATCAATAGCTAGGGCTGCACAAAAGACTGGACGGCACTGGACTTCACCCTAACCCGAAGTCCGGTCTCTTTCATGAAAAAGACTGGGTTAGGCAACCCGTAGTCCAGTCTTGTCCAGTAATAACCCGAAGATTAACAGGACCGGACTTGGTCCATAGGACTGGGAGACTGGTCCTGTCAGTCCAGTATTCACTTAGCTTTTTTTCCCTCTTTTTATTCTATGAGAGGCAATAATCCATTCCAACATAATAAACTCAATTAAGATAGTAAAAATACTTATAATAATAATAAATCCATAATAATTTCTAACAATAAGAAAAAAAATATTTTTGTTATAGTCTAAATTATTTAAATTTATAAACTTTAATAAAAACAGTACTCAAAAAATTCAACAACACTATATTACAATAACAATTTAGAAACAAACTTAATAAATCTTTATGCAATCATCTCCTTAGCATCAATTACACTTTAAACATTTGTCAAAAATAAATTAATTATAATTATAATAAAAAAAATTAATAGGACTGGACTGGACCAAGTGGTCCGGATGCCTGGTCTCTTGTCCAGTCCAACCCGAAAAAATAGTCTGGTCTTTTTAGTCCTTTTGGTCCTGAAGGACCAGTGACTATACAGACCGAACAAGACTGAGACCATCTCGAATTGGACTGGATCAGACAGGACTGGATACTTTTGCACAGCCCTATCAATAGCCATTTCCCAAAATTCATTTGTGATTGTGTCAAGCCATCTCGTATAAAAGGGCACGCACTTCACTACTGCGCCACCTCACTGCCCACTGCGGTTTCGATTCACCCTCTTTCATACAGCGTCTCTTTCCCTCTAGATTTGGTAACGTCTTCACTCTAGCTCTTTGATTCTTTTCCTCTGAATTAGGGTTTCAATCTCATTGTCGTCTGTGATCTCGTTACTGTTGTTCAATATAAGCTTCTTCATCATTATCTTTCTGTTTGTTTGGATTTTGAAGCAAGTTTCATTGTGCCGATGACTTATAAAGTGCTTTCGCGTACTGTTTTCCGGATCGCGAACCTTTATGGTTCAGATTTGTGGGTTTTTATCTTGTTTTTGAATTTTTTGCTGTTGTGGTAGCACTGTAATGCCTGCCTGCCTTTCCAAGGCCTTTTACTTGATCTTCGACTATTGTGTCTCAAGGATCTTGGACTTGTTTTTGTGAATATCCTTTGAATTTGTACAGCGAGACACTTTGTGCTGAGTGTGTCGTTGTGGCGTTGAAATGATTGTTATGCAGCCAGTTGTATTTATGCTACCAGTTTTCTGAGGGGTGTCAAGTGCCAACTCTCTTGTATGTTTATGCTCGTACGATGTGTGATAAGCTCAGTGGCTTTGTGTTATCGAGTCGTTGAGTTACAGAAGTTTTGCTTCATATTAATGAAAGGAAATAGCAGTAAGTATAAAATGAGTACGGAAAAAGGATAGGATCAAGTAATCAGTTCCATCATAGGTCTTGCCTGTGGTTGAAAGGTTGTGAGGGAAAGTAGGATGGAAAAACTTTCATTGGTAGTCATTGTCTTCAGATTTCATATCCATGAAAAAGATGCAGTACGAAAAAGTAACAGAGAGGGGATTAGGATGAGGAAGGTGAAGAGTGGAGACTTCTCTTATTTTATTTAATTTTATTTTGATAAACTAGACTTCTCTTATTTTTCTGTGGTGATGTGATGAATAACTTTTAAAATGAACATCGGACTACCTATCCCATTTTAAAGTTATGTGCCTTATGCTTAAAGTTCTTATATTGCAGTTACTAAAAAAAATTGTATTTCCTTAATATTTGTAAAGGGAGTATGAAGACGAATCATTCAGTTGGTAAAATCCTTTAAGCTCTTCCTGTTTGACCCCCCAAATATTAGGGACCAAATACAATCGGACCTTAAAAATTTTCTCTCCTCTTGATTTTAGGCTGAACATGGAATTAAGATTACTTGTGGGACTGTTAAGATATCCTCGTTCCAATCTTGACAGTGATTGTTGCCTCCATGAAATGATATTATGATTCTCTTGTTCTTCTCTAACAGTTTATTTTACCTTGTCAATTTGCATCAAGACAGATATTTGATTTACTTTTTTTATAAAAACAGTTGAAGAGCATGGGTCGTGGAGTTAGCAGTGGTGGTGGACAGAGTTCCTTGGGCTATCTTTTTGGTAGTGGAGAGGCTCCAAAACCAGCAGAAACTAATGCCCCAGCTGAAGAACAGGTTGTAAATAGCGAGCCTCCTTCAAAGAAACCTGCTCCTCCAGTAGATGTGAATAGGCAGGCTCCTGCTGGTATCCATAGCAATAAAGCAGATGGCCAGAACACTGGCGACTTCATTACGGTATTGTGTTTGCCTGTTCCATCTATTTGCTTCTTAATTTGATAATTTATGGTCAAAAGGGTTTAACGTGATGAGCATCTAATCAAAATACTACGTGATCTATGGCTAGTATAATTCAAACTTTCATGTGTATGTTTAGCTTCTCTTCATTGTTTTGTATGGTTTATTTACTCATATCGAATTTTCCATAGTGGAGTCGTGTTGAAAATGTTCCCTGTTGTTGGTGAAATTTGATCTGAATTAGTCAGTATTGCAATCTCAGTCTGGTTAGATACTTCGATTTACTAAACTATTTGACTTCAGTTCAATTCAAGTGATGTTCTCATGTTCGATGGGTTCCCATACCATCATTTATAGTTCAAGATACCTGAGAAGAGACCTCTTGCACCTGCAAATGAAATGATAATTTTTCAATCAGATGGAATAAACGAAATGCATTTGATGCAATACTTGTTTTGGAGTGACATATCTAATTTAATTGAGATGTTGTATCTGGCTATCTGCATATCTTGTAAGATGCATGCCTAGATTGTTTTCCACAAATATAGTTCTGATTGTTATTGTTCTTTGTTATTTATGCTGCAGGACCGACCCTCAACTAAGGTCCATTCTGCCCCTGGTGGTGGCTCATCACTGGGTTATCTCTTTGGCGGACCTAGTGACGGAAAATAAGCTGTTTCTGAAAATATAAACCCTGAAAACATGAGGAAGATATGGTGTAATATAGATTATGGTTGTTTTGGATGAGTCAGTTGCATTGTTCTAAAAGCACAAAACATCTACATAATTGTGCTTGTCAATGGATGTTTCAATTTTCAAATGCATATCTTGCTTTACTTCTGTGCTTAACGAGTTCTTGAGATTTTTTCTCTTTGCTCTTTTGGTAGCTTTTAAGATTAGTTTTAGTCCCTCAATTTTCTTCTGCCCATGTGCAATGGTCCTGACATTGGAACATAACATTGAAATATTTTATATCACATGATCCTTTTCAAAATTGGAATTATTTTTCTTCCAAATTGTTTGGTAAATAGAAATTTTTTTTAAAGGAAACGAGAGATACATTAGTTTTATTTAAAAGTACTTTTTATATTTTTTTGTACACCAAATGTGCTGTTGGTTGAAAAGATCTATACGGTTATCTTCCTCTCTATTCATTTCCAGGGTGTAAATTCTCATCTCAGGTCTCTTTGGATAATAAAAGATTATCACTTTAGATTTGGTTACAAGTATGATATGATACCCGAAGCGTCTTTTGAACTGAATTAGTAAAATACCCAAAAAAAAAAAAAAAAAAAAAAAACCAAAACCAAACAAGGCAAACATCTAAGCCTGGCCATCAAGCAAGCTATTGTGGCGGTATTCATACAAAGTTTTCCAACTCTGAAGTAGTAACTATACATTGATCCCTGCGCTTATATTCAGGCCCAAGAGGCCAAGATCCATGACCATAAAATGTCAAACGGAAGATCTAGATCCCTATTACATCAAGGCAGCTTATACTCCCCAGGGTCCTGTCTATTTATTCAAGAAAAATTCTCTTGTATATCAGTCTCCAATACATTGCAAAGAAGAAAAGAACCTATAAGATAATCATCCACACCCACTAAACATGATACAAATCACTAGGTCAAAAAAATTGTGGTTTAGGGCCAGGAGGAGCAGGAACAATCACCCATTTTCTGCGGACATCTTCCAGATCTTCTTCGAAGTGCTGCTCATAATACACACACATAAGGTCAGTGCATTGCATGCCGGCTCGAATGGCCCACGGGAAGTAGTGCTGATAAAACAATTTTCTCTGCCTTTCGCTGAACCTTGCCGTGCCCCCCACCACAGACAGCAGACACATGGGAAGGTGCATCTGCTCAAATTCAATCACCTTCAGTGCTGACTCTCCGATCAAGTTAGTTGGGAGGCCAAACAGGGTATGCCAGAAATCATGAACTTCACGAGCCCGCATGGCTACGTAGGCTAGTTCATCTGTCTCCATGAACCGCACTGGAGGTCTATCGTCTGGTGAAAAATTCCTGGATCCCATGAATCTAGCATAGGCAGCACCAAATGTGTTCTCTGGTAGGTCCCAAGCATGTCCAACTTTAGCAGATATCACACGTGGACGCTCTAATAATACTGCCTGCCAAATACAAGAGAAAATGGATTGGTTTTGGCTGTGACATCTGATTAAAAATTTAAAATACCCAAATAGGGTTTAATGAACTTCAGTCCCCACATTGATACACAAATCATATAGATAAGAAGATACAGTTTGCAACCAAGAAAGTAATAAAATAGTGATTTTACTCTGGGAACTTTACGTGATTTCAGATTTTGTTTTATAAGAGGATAAATACAACCAACTTGCAGAACACAACACTCCAAGATGCTATGACGAAAAACATTACTCAATTAAGACCGTAACATCCATTCCCTTCAAAATACATCCATCCAAATCAGAGTAATTCCATAATAGTCTAAAAGGACTTTTTAGGAAAAGAACTGAACCAATAACCAGCCTAAGATAAAGTTTGCCGTTTTGACAGTTTAAACACCCGGTAATATGCCAGAATATTTCAAAAGGAATTACTACATTGTTATATTAATTTCAATATTATTCAAGATGATATTTCTATTGCACTGTTGTGATGCATGCAGGGTTACAACCATTAACAGGCCAACTTGTCCCTTTTTCTAATAAGGAAAAAATTACCATCGAAGTTTGTCCATAAAGAGTTGAATAAAGGATACTCAACAAAACAATCATTTAAGACATGCACTTTTGCCATGTCAAAACAGTAGGAAAATCATAAGTACACTAGCAGTTAGAATTCAGAATCAAATAGAGGAAGTCCTTCATTCTATGATAAATAAGTTTACAGACAAAACATAACAAGAATATCCTCGAAATTGAATGACAAGATACAACTATCGGCTTACCCTGCCTTCTGGACTCTGCTTCATCCTTTCAAGAACTCTCTCATAAGCAGGCTTTCCTGTTGTCTCTCCAAGAGCTGCAATTAAATCTGCTCTTCGTGGGTCTAGCAATGCACCAACTGCTGAACCAAGTGCAACAGCTGCCTGCTGCCACCCCTTTAGTGGGATTCGAGCAACTTCTATCATCATGACTATCCTCTTAGTCTCAGCCCCCAAAAATTAAGAAAGTCTGGAAAAAAATACAAAAATAAACTATCAATTTTATATCCCCTTCTTATTCAGAACACACAACACACAAACACAAATTCTTTTCCTATTAAACAGTATATCTTAACTGAAAACGGCTTTCATATTTTGCCAAGTAGCAATATAAACGTTAACTGGCAACAAGCATATAAAACAACATCTGAATACTCTCATCTACGCTGTCACTTTTAGGCAGAGAATGCTTTTAGCCAGAAAACACCATTCTTGAAAATTGATTATCAGCTTATTCTCATTCAGCGCAGCAATGGGAAGTATTTTCTTTCGTTTAAGATTTCCCAATACTACTTTGGTTTCTAGAGAGTAACAAATTTAACATATTGCACACAATGACTAATATTGAATCCTATAGATCACCTTTCATTTATAAATTTACAAAGTTGCACTTTGCATCTGCCTCTCTGTGGCCCTCAAAACACAACAGCTAGCCAAGCAGAGCTAGGATGTTCGACTCATCTGTGACAAAAAAGAATAAAAATAAATAAATAAATAACGTTTCTCCTTGACTTGCTGCTCAATCATCAGCGGACCTAGTACCACACTCAGTGGGGGCTCTTTGAAATATGCATAGTTAATATAATACCTTTTTAATTTTTGTTACAGATACTTTGACACAACTGGAGCCAAGCCATTTACAAGATCATACATCACAAAGACCTTAAGAATTTTCCAAAATTGATGATAATATTAAAAGAATAATTAACAGAATGCCAACACAAAACAAATTTAACAGTACAAAACACACAATCCAAATCGCACGAGTCACTAGTAATCAAAATGAAGAGGGAAGAAGTATAATAGCCAATTACACACCATTCAAAGCAAAAACTAGTACAGAAAAAAAAAAAAACCTCAATATGTGAATATTCCCAAATTCAAAAGCGTCAATATTCAACGATTACACGACCAGTTTCAAAGCCAAATAAAAATGAAAAATTTAAAACAAAGCAAGAACAACCACGCAGGGAACAGATAACGCGGGGAACAAATTCAAATCTAGATTCAAAGCCAGATTGAACAAACCAGTCTCACCTGATTTTGGGAGTAGAAAAAGCCCTAGGCTTCGAACCTTCTTCACCGCTTGCCCGAGAACAACCGCGCCGGGCTGACAACAGTGGACGGCGTCGGACGGAGTGTGGAATGCTTGTTCGTCCTCACAACAATGGGCTTTGTAGTTTCGTTGGGGTTGTAATTAATTTTAGGAAGAATTTGGTGTGGGTGGAAAATTAATTATTCAAATGGCAAAATTAATTATTCCAAATAATGACGCTTGTTTTATTAATTGATACTTATAAATTTTTTGATAATCAATTTACACTTATAAATTTATAATAAACTCTTATATATCAAATAATGTTGAAAAAATTAATATCAAATAAGATTTTTACCAGAATTTTTTTAAAATTCTTAAATATCATATCATGATTTACAATGTAGTTTTAGGATAGCATTACTAACTCCTAGGATTATTGGAAGTTTTTTTAATATATATACATATATATAGTGATATTACAATCTCTTCGTTTCATTATTTCTATGATGCAACTCAAAATTATGTGAAATAATAAGTTAATAAGTTAATTAACATAGTTTTAGAAGGTTGGAGGAGCACAAGAAAGCTTCTTCTTTTTTCCCTTTTTCTTGAGGCAATCTTTCCGAAAGGCGAGGTTGAAGTTGAGCACTTTTTTTTTTTTTTGTGAGAATTCAAACATGTATGAGATTAACCTTCCATTAGACAAAAGAAAGTTGGAACACAAGAAAGCTTTAATTAAATGTCTAAATGATGAAGTTTATTGGAATTACATATAAATTTTGATGAAATGATTTCTTGATTCATTTATGATGAATGGTGTCTGGAAGTTAGACGTATCTATCCAATTTCTTTTTTGTTTTTTTTTAATACGGTGTCATCATTTACTTGCATTAAGAGTGTGAATTCATTTATTGCCCATTGAAGATATGCTAAGCTTATTCTTGCAGGACACAAATACCAATTTACAAATTTGTCCACATTTAAATCTGAAAAAGCGACCTTCGTTTAGAATGAAAAAAAAAAAAAAAGGAATGAGAGAAAATTAGGAGAAAACAGTTAAAGAAAAAAACATTTTCCCTCCCTAACACAATCTTTTCTTAGTCTTCTCCCTCTATATCAGGAAATTAGGAGAAAACCGGAGTGAAAATATGTTTTTTATTTAGTTCTCTTTTAATTTTTCCTCCTCCATATTTTTTGCTCACCCCAAACAAATCCGTAAGTGATTAAATTTCTATTTTTAATCTGTCCTAGTTTCACGTATTAGCAAAATAACAATATACTATAATGACTGCACATGCTTCCTTTGCCATGCATTGATGATTGAGCATAAATGACAAATTACAATACCTGCACTCATAAATTCCCCAGACTTGTCATATTTTCTTTTACTTGTGAACAAATATGATTTTTTTTATAAAAAAATTTACCACTAATCCAATACTTTCTTATAAAAAAAGGAGAACCGGAACACATATATAAAAACATGTCAACATCAAATTTAAACAAGGAACCTCTTCCAAACGAGGAGGTAGTACTACCACTAGAATAGCTTGCCATTGACAAGTACGTGACTTTGTTTAATTTGGTAAAAGTTTCTCTCAGATATTTTCAGTCAGAGACATCAATTCAAAATAGTCCCGACAACTTATTGTTCCATTTCGTGTCATAAGTTTCCAGCAGGTAGTATTCTTCTTGTCTATAGCATTTATCTTTTTTATGCTTATATGCGTGTGTGTATGTATATAAACATACATACTCATCTTCTAGCTTCGTCAATCACCCCTCCTCTTTTCTCTTTGTGAGCATTTCTATTTCTCCCTTCCTATCGTTCGCTTCTTGTGATTCTCAGGAGACTATCAGTTTATCACTAACCTTCAAACTATATCATTTTCATGTTTATGCTTATTGATTCTCATGAGACATGGTTTTGTGCTGTCAAACTTCTTATATCGCGAAGTATGAACTTGTGTCAAGACTTAGAGGCCATTTTGTGGCATCAGTTGGGTTATATAGATAAAAGAATCATTATACCCTTTTATTGAATTGCCTTCTCATGCAACACACACGCTTACCTAAAATTGAACTCTGGGTCTCTCAGCTTGTAGATTATTGGGTTAGATTGACATTTAATTCACATAGTTCATGGATAGAGTATGATCTATATTCAAATGTCCTTTCGTGTAGTTTTTGAGTCTAGAAAAGGCAAAGTTACTTCCTTACTGTTAGAATTACATCTGTATATGGAATTCCATGCTTCATAAGTTGTATCTGAATTTCTTGAGTTGTTTTAAAGCTTTCTTTGGTTATTTCATCCGTGTCTAATATGTTTTTAAAAGACAGAGGTATTGTATTTGTTCAAAGCATGCGCTCTTTGTGATGGTCATTTAGATAGAGGAAAGGTAAGGATTCGTGAGAGTTTGGAAGAGCACTGATTTGGCAGAATATATTGCTGAAATATCAGAAGCATCTGTGAAGGAAAGGGGAGTTTTTGCTATCGCTTTATCCGGTGGCCCTCTCATTGGACTAGTCAGGTATTCTTGGTGGCTTACTTCTTTTTTTTTTTTTTTTTTTCACGTAATGTTTTCGGATTCAAATCCTCTAAAATGCTCTTCACCTACAGTATAGAAAAAGAGAGATAGACACAGAAGTGAGCACTATTTCTGTAAAATACAGGCTGTCAGAATTGTACATTTATCTCTATCTTTCACTTCAAGTGAAGTGCACTTTCTTTGGTGGATCCAAGTTCGATGTTTCTTTGCATGTGTTAGTGATTTAACACTATGATGGCAAACAGCAAACTTCCTGAAGCTCCTTGTAGCAAGATAGTAGATTGGTCCAAGTGGTATGTCTTCTGGGCTGATCAGCTTCTTGTGGGAAAAAACCATGCAGATAGAAATTATAAGCTTGCAAAAGATTGCCTTTTGTCAAGGTTGTACTCTCCAAGTATATCTTTGCTCCTTCTTTTCATACAATTACAAAGAATGTTTTGACTCTCAGAATTAGTTATAAACATATCAACCTAGTTTTCGATTAGCATTAAAGTTACATTTATCAAGGATTCAATGTTGATGACATTCAGATTAAATTTTGCTTCACTTTGTCAGTCTTATATGAATGTTCATTTACTTCTTCACTCAGACATCCATAAACAATTCATGACCCCCTTAATTTGGATGAAGAGAAAAATAAGGAGGAAAAAATACTAGGAGGGAAAACAGTCAAAAATAGGACGTGTGTGTTATTTTTGACAATCTTTTTTAGTATTCTCTTTGCTCCATTTTCCTTTCAGTTTCCCTCCATCCAAACTAAGTAGCAATGTGAGGCAGAGGGCAGAGGCTGTTATATAACTACATTGCACTTTATAACTAGATATTCATTTATTTTCTCTCATCATTTCCTAGCAATATTAGCAGGTACCAATAATCCCTAGTCACGTGCATTCCATAAATGATTCAGTCTCAGCAGAAAAGGCTGCTGATGAGTATGAGTTTCTAATCAGACAGTCAGTAAAAAATCGCACAGTCAAAGTTTGTGACACTGGTGACTGCCCCAGTTTCGATTTCATCCTTCTAGGATTGGGTGTGGATGGCCATGTTGCTTCTCTATTTCCCAATCAGTCAGCAATGAATGAGAGGGAAGAACGGGTGACTTTCACTACTGAATTTCCTAAATCTCCACATGAGAGAATCACATTCACGTTGCCCGTTATCAATTCTGCATCAAACGTAGCAGTGGTTGCCACAGGTGATAGTAAAGCAGATGCTGTACATTTGGCAGCCGATAATGTGGGGCCAGAGTTCCCCATAGTACCGGCGAGGATGATCCGGCCAGTGAACGGTAAGTTGGTTTGGCTTTTGGATGAGCCAGCCGCATCAAAACTTAAACCTTCCCTGATGTCCTATTAGCATGAACTCTCTCAAATTGATGTATGCTGTTACTAGATGTATATGTTGACTCTCATCGATCCAAACTACTTTAATTTCCCTTGGATTTGAGTTCAACATTTAAATTTTTCCTTGCTCTCTCATGGGGAGGTTGCTTTGTTAGGTTAAGAATCAGGTCATTCCAAATTTTCTGGGAATCACATCAATTCGAACCTGTCATGGCTTCTGATAATCTACTCAGCTCAGTTACTGCATTTCAAAATAGACATCCAACTATACCATAAACCGGATACTGGATTTAAGGTCCAAAGTCATCAATGTGAACTAAGATTTTCAATATCCATTACTTGACCAATTTTTCAATGTAATGCGTGTAACCAAAACTTATCATGAAACAGGCCGACGTTACTAGTGCTTTTCCTTGAAACAGTAAAACATCCGTTGCAACTATTCATTTCCAGTTTCAATAATGGGGAAAAAATTAGGTGTGGTATTACTTCTTACGCAAGTATAAAAAACCAGCTATCACTGAGATGCCAAGAACGGCCACAGGAACAGCCCAATATTGCTTTGTCAACTGCAAGAACTTTTCTGAATAAATTGCAGCTTGATTTTTCGAGGAAACAGGTGGTGAAGGGTCAACCTCACCAATACAAAACTTCTCCATAAGTTCTCTGGCACTTTGGCTGTGGCCAGCATCCTCGAATTCATCCGTCGCATCTTTCCCTTCATCAAAGTAAAAAAAAAAAAATACAAAGAAGTTTCAATAATTTTATTTATAATTGCCAATGTTTTCCTTTTCTTTTCTACAAAGCATGGACACCATCTAATTTTAGGCATGTCACAAGTTGAACATACTGCCAGACCATTTCAAGAAAAGAAAAATGGCTAATAAATTAAGCGACTATTTCAAGAAAAGAAAAATGGCCAATAAATTAAGTAGCATGAGAGATTAGAAACGCCTTCCTGATGAGATAATTCATGATCTTGCCGTAATGCTTTTTACATTGCACATGAATAATTTGAATAACATAGTTTAATTTAATGGTACTTACTCCATTTTCGAATATAAGATAAACTACCATGTTTCATCTAGTTTTTATTTACAAGCAAAACTACAAATTTCAAGAAGCATTTATTACGTTTTTCCCCAAATTATCCCTCATAAAGTCGATGTTTATTTTCACTAGATAAATTTGTTTCATTACTTGCAGATATAATTTAGTCCAATTTCTTTAATTTCATACATAATTATTATACTTAAACCAACTTTCTTAAACTATGTGAATTAGTTATTTTCTCTTATATTTGAAAATGGAAAGAGTACATAGAATTTTTAGAAAGTAATACTGTAAAGATAGGATGATGACAAAAAACAAATAAATAAATAAATAAAAATAAAACATCAAAAATTGAATATGAAAATATGACAAGATACACAAATGCTGTTCGCAGTGCCATGTTTCTTATTTGTGAAAGTTTGAGGTGTAAATATGTTGCATCAAGCATCAATGTCAGTGCATAATGTTTTTTTTCCCCCTATGCTTAGTATGGCAGTAGGATATAGGATATAAGACAGGATGCACAAGTACCAGTTGCAAGAAGGACTACTTCATCTCCCCCCGGATGATCATCCAAATATGAGGTCACATCGTATACCTGCATTAATAAATCATCAACATATTACCAATCAGAGACAAGAAGATAGATGATGAGAGAGGCCAGACTGCCAGAGTCTAAAAGCAAGCGCACACTTCCTATTTTTTTCTTCTTTAACAAAAGATGAAAACAAGTCAGCAAAAAGAGAATGAAATGAAACCAAGTACGTATTCTAGAATTTTCTATTTAAAAAAACCTACATATGCAAACATGGTTAAGAATAAGCTGCACTTCAAAATGTTATCCTCAAATGTGCAGCAGCCACCGACATATGAGCTGCAAATTGTTAATTGTAAAGAATCATTATTTCTTAATTTGATAACAAATAAGATGAGAAACCAATAGCCATAGACAAAAGAAGCTATCATCCTAAAAAGTAGCAATTGGGCTATGGCTGCTGACAACAAAGAAACTGCTATGAGCAATCACCTAAGGTACAGATAATCACTTTACCTCTCTTGCTCTGTTCCTCTCTCCAAGGAATACCCACACACAAACATTCAAAGATGGTGAAGCACAATACATAGAGCAAGGGGAAAGTTAAGATCTGATTAATAGAATTGCTGGAGTTGAGATATTATTCCATGCATGGAGATGAAAACTTAAACCTTAAGGAGTCTCGTGACTGACAAGAATTCTATCACTTAAGGAGAGATGAAATGGCAAGAAAAAGGAAAGGAAGAGAAATTTTTTTATGCATTAAAAAGGTCCTTAATAGGGCATCCCATTTACTGCCCAAAAAAAACATTATAGTCTAATTTAAAGACAAGTTCTTATTCATATCAGAAACTACTTGACACCATATAGCATTACAAACCATTGCAAGAATATAAAACAAAATGCAGAAACATGATATATATATATATATATATATCAAATAAATCAATGTATCATGTATTTATGTATCTATGTAAGTATGTAAATAGGCCATATCTATGTATGTACGTACGCAATAACTCTCATATACAGCTCACATTTAAAAGCAACTATGGTAATGATGAAACTAAAAATGATAAAAACATGGGTTTCCAAGAGGGGTTGGCAATAGTCAGTTTTCCTGAGATCACATAAACATTTCTACAGCAAAGCAATGGCAAAGAAAGTAGGAAAGAATATAATGGAAAAGAAGGATGACATCGGAGAATGATCAGAAAAGACATGATAAAAAGACAAAACTGAGAAGTGAGAAAATGAAATGCATGTAGAAGGCAAAAGTAATGAACTGATATGATGGTTTTCTATATATATGATTAAAGTTTAAAACTCAAACATAAACCCTTGACAATTCGTAGATCATAGTAGAGAAAGACAGGCCTCAGGAGAGGCACATGAACCATAAAAGTAACAATCGACAAACTCTAAACAATTATTATTTGTTTTATGTGAAAGCAAAGGTGGGCGAACATTGAATATTGGAAGCTATTATATAATTTTCACAATAATATGTATACAAGGTAACCAATGCCTTTCATAAATAATCATTGAACTTTAATAGCTACCTTTATTGAAAACAATGCCAAAAAATATCCACAAGCTCAATAATATTGAAAATTTCGACTCCACCACATTCTGAATCCAATCAGTAGGAGCAGGATACCTCGCACTTTTTCTCAATACTTCCAATACACGACAACTCAAAATTTCCTATGCAAAGTTAAACAAGTCCAAACAATTTGAAGGCAAGTAATACTTAAATCCTCAATAAACCAGCAATAAAAATTTGCCTGCTCCTACCGTCTCATAGAATGCCAATATTCAATACCACCTACTTCTCCTTCATAAAAGGCTAGTTAAATATAATAAAAAACAGACCATTTCATACATGAGTTGTGAAAAACAAAACAGAACACAACCCAGAAGTAGAGAAATACCCATCGGAGCGAAAGATAGCATTCAAGCAAAAAGTCTTACCTTGCCCTCAATAACCACCCAGCAATCACCTTTGGTGTTATGCTGGGAAGCCTCTTGCATCGTATAGAGCTTCGAAAGGATTGGCATGTTCGCGAGCCTTTTGGCCTTTGACGCTTCAAAGTAGAGAGAGAAGGGGGGAGGGGGACTTCGGCAATGGGAAGAGAAGAAGCAGAAATGTAGAATGGGGCTCCCTCGCTTCCTCTGACTGCCGCAACCTCCTTCTCTTGCCTCTTGTCTCTAGGAATGAATTCTTGGTCTTCAAGCCACAGTCAATCCGCCTTCGCCACCATGGGCTGTTCTTCTCAGAAGTCATAAGCTGAAGCATGGGCTTACCATGGGCTTGACCCTTCTTCTAACCCATTATCCTATAACTGGATAATAAAATTATAGAAAATGTGTTCAAGAATTCAAGTTTTGTCTATCAAGTATTTAAGTTTTGTCTAGACAAAAAATTGATTATAATTTTTAGGGGAAAAAACATATTTTTAATTGTACTTTCATTCATTGAAAAAAATTGAAATAAAGGGATAATAATTTTTTGTAGAGTTTACTTCTTCATTTTTTTTTATCCTTTTCAATTGATGAATAGTATTTATTTTATGTTCGAATTTTTTTTCTCAAATATTTACAGAAAAATATTTCAATATCTTCATCCAATGTATAGAGGGGCTAAGCTTGCAAGCAGCACTGTTCTAGTTTTGAAAAGATAGAAAAAAGGAAAAAATTCATCTTACGTACTTTATATATCAAAATAAAATACAAAAAGAAAAAAAATTGAATTGTTTTTTTGGAAAAGAAAAAAAATTATAGTACAATACGAGATCTTGCAATCAATGGCGAAAAATTAAAAGAAGAGTAATTCGAGTTATCGGAAGTGCAATAGATTTGGAACCGATTAAATGTTGAAGCAAAGCTGAAAATTTGCATTATTTATGAACAATAAATCATATGGTTGATTTTGGATTTCATGTACTTATCTTTATTTTTGGGACGGTAAAAGTATAATACTGCGTTGACATCAGAGTAATCAACTATAGATTTTTCTCACTTGGCATGGAAGCATTAAAAGTATAAGATTTAGTTGAGGGACTTGATTTGATCTAAATGTAAGATTTCAATTTATTTTGTCTCTGAAATTTATAATTTTTTTTAATATTCCTATTGATTGCAAAAATTAAAGAGATTTTCCATCAACATGAATAGTTTACAATATAAATTAATTTTATTAATATTTGTAGATTAATTATTTAGATCTTATATTTAAGACCGAAAGAAGTACAGTAGCTCCCAGGTTATATAATTTGCATTTATTTATTTATTTTCCTCTTTAATCAATCCTAAGTCCTCACAGATCTGTTGATTAGGGCATGGAGGGACTTTTTCTTTGTTTGTTATGTTGGGAGAGAGATTTATTGAGATATTGATGTTTGAATAAAGAGGCAATAATGGATATTTGATACATAAAAATGAACATACTTCTTGGCTACATGCAAAAATGGAAACGCTTGGTTACGTGAGAACGACAAACTAATAAATTAAAAGATAAAGTAGTAGATTTGGTTATAAATTATTTTTCGAGGAGTATCAGATGGTGCAAAATAAAATACGAACTTTTAAAATGAGAATATTCACCAGCCTATCGTTAACTTCAACTGACGAACGTTATGTGAACCCCGCAATAACACACGGGCATGACACATCAACATGGTAAAGATGCAAATTTAGCTATGAACTATTTTTCTGAGAGCGCTGGGTGGCTTCTACTAAAAAAAAACGGACCATCCAATATTTTTTCCTCAATTTTGACCAAACATCATTTATTTTCATATTTATAAGGCCCACAAAGCATTAATATCTCTAATCTTCTTGCCTTCATTTTCAATATAAGCTTCAGAAAAAAATGTTCAATGAGTTCTTCTATGAAGACATTCATCAAGACAATGCTAACAAAATAGAAAAAAAATTCGTGACTAAATTAACTTAGAATCAAGCTTCCTCTCATGCATAGTAAAATCAAGCTTCTACTTTGTTGGCATCATCCTTGTGAAGGTTTTCAAATAAGAACTCATTGAACCTCTTCTTCTGAAGCTTATATTGAGAATAAAGGCAAGAAAATTGGAGATATTAATGTTTTATGAGCCCCATAATTACGAAAATAAATGATGTTTGGCCAAAATTGAGGAAAAGGTATTGGATGGTCTCTTTTTTTTATAGTAAAGGCTACCCAACGCTCCTAGAAAAATAGTTTGTAACTAAATTTGCACCTTTATCATGCTGATGTGTCGTGCCTATGTCATGTCACGTGTTATTGTTGGCCCCACATAACGTCCGTCAGTTGAAGTTAACGGTGGGTTGCTAGATACTTTCTTTTTAAAAGTCCGTGATTTATTTTACACCATCTGATAGTTTAGACTATCAAATACTCTTTAAAAAATAATTTATAGCTAAATTTACTGCTTCATCCTAAATTAAAAGGCAATGAAAATTACGTGATGACTCATCTCTTCTTCTTGCTTACGAAAGCATCACATTGCATGTGCCATGTGGCAAGACCTGCAAAAAGCTTCAATCCTCTCCCCTTAAACATGGCTTCCTAAAATCATCATTATTTTGTTCTTCTTCATTCGCCTTAATTTGTAACGTTATCAAGGACAACATCTTTTCCTTTTTAATTTAAATATATAATACGATTTATATTCTGTATAAGATGCAAATTTAAATCCTAATATCCTAATATTAATATGAGCAAAAATTATTGGATAGATTATATATGTCACATCATTTATAGTTTATTTAATTAAAATGCTCTTAATCATTTTATTTTAATCCTGTTTGGCAGATACTTATTTTATTTTATTTTTAAAACATAATACTTAAAATAATAATTGAATCAAATAAAATCTCATGTATCATTATTTTTAAAGACTTTTTTAAAATATACTATCAATTTAATTTCTTGTTTTTCTCTCTCAATCATCATAGATGAGGCGACATAGGAAATAAAAAAATTAAAATAATTTAAAGTGATATAAATAAGAGATAATATATAAAATTAAATAAACTTGACATGAAATGTTTTTATTAGATATTACATCCATCCATTATAAAATACTTTTAGAATAAAATACATATATCAATAAAAGTTTATTAAATACATTTTACTATCTTACTTTTTATAAAATACTTTTAATTTAATACTTCATTTGTAAAAAAATATTAAAGATAGAATATAATAAAAATGATAATATAAAAAAATATTATTAATGAACTTTATTTTTTGGCAAAGTGTCTTATATTATTAGACGTCAAATATCTTATAAATTAAAAAAAAGAAGTAATATATAAATGGCGTGATGTATCAAGTCCATGCAATAATTTTTTAATAATAACAACAACAATAATAATAACAATATTTATCTTTCCTTGAGGTTTTCATTTTCCAAATATTTCTAAAAAATCTTCTTGATTTTCAAGTCATTAAAGAAGGTATCCAAATTAGATTGGGAGTTGTAATCAATTTCATAAGAGTCAAACCTTGTTTAAAATGAAAGAGGCAAATCATGGTAAGAATCCCAGCATTGATGGTGAAAATTAATGAAGTTATAAAAGGGAGAAGAATTGGAGATTGGAGAGAATATTGTGTGACCTGTGAACAAGAATAACAATAATAATACAATTTTCTCTTGTCTTAATACCTGCATTTGTGGATTCTAAATTATAATTTCTTCCATCATCATAACTGCACCGCCGGTAATTTGGAACTGTTGGTGTCACTGCTGTAAGTGCATTTCCTTCATCTCCTTTCATTCTTTCGTTTTCTCTTCTTTTATTTTTTTTTATAAAAAAGTTTAGGAGAATTGTATACAACGACTTATTAAGATTAATGCATGTTTTTAAAATTAAAAAATATTTATAAATCATCTATTAATAAGATCTTTTCATTGGTAACAGGATTTAATCCTACAACCTTATGGATTATGAGATAAATTCTTATCAAATGAACTAATCTTTCTTGGTTAATCTCCTTTATTTCATTGTAAATATTACAACTTTTTATTTATGAGAATTTGATCCAATAAAAGTGACTAATCCCTTACAAAATATGAATAATCAAGGTTGAAATTTTTATTGGAAAAGCTGCCCATGTAACCTTTGTTGGATTTTTCAATCGGAAAATACGTATGTTGGTAAAAAAAATGGAAAATACTTATAAACAATAAAAAATTATTTTAACTTTTTCAATTTTCATTTTGTATAATTTTTCATAGTCATCAGTCATATGGTGTCAATCGGTAGAGGCTGTGTGAGGCTACATGTCTCTCGGTTTATACTCAATGCCGATTAGTTTTTTCGCTCTTTGAAGAAAAAATAAAAAAATATTATCTTAAATATTGATCTTTCAAAAAATTAAATTAAAAAATAATATTTATTTTTCTGGATCTTTACAGGATATTTTTAAGCATAAAAAAATTAGAAATTTTGGAATTGAAAAAGAAAATTGTTTCAAAACCTTTCCTTAAAATATTTAAAAATCTCTTTACCTAAGAGATTAAAACACACCAACCAATCATCTAAAAACTTGTTCTTTTGCAGCCAACATGAGTTAAGTCTAGTAAAAGAGGCTAGTTCTTTATAATAAATAATATCAAGATTCAAATTCTTGTTAGGAGATATATTCACATTTAATGTTCAAATATATCTTGAAGTAGTTTACACTAGCGCTCAATCATCTAAAAAATTGTTTTTTTTTTGCCAAAGATAAATTATTTTATGTCTTGATATTCTTAAGAAAAAAATAAATTAATAAAGGTCACCAACTAAGTAACATATCATTTTATTTGAATTATGTGGACTTTAATCTGCAAAAAGTGTGTAGGCTTTATGTTATTTGCCTATGTCAAGTCCACCCTTAAAGATAAATTTCCTCTCTCTTTTATTCTTCTTTTTTCCTACGAATGAATGGACTTCTCGATCTCTCATATCTCTATAACAGTTTTGTAAAGTGTATATTGTAAGGTGTCTTAACACATTCATCATACATAAAATGGACTCTTGAACCTTTTCTTTTTTTCTTTTGGTTTCATAGACTGTCCTTCTTATTCATATGATTTTTTAAGATTTTCTTAAAAATTTTAGTACCGATTTTGTTTCATTCAAATCTCATTTGGAAGGTTGATTTCCCCCTTCCTGCCATCCGCGTGACATCTAAGGTGTGACAACATGAAAATGTATCACCCTAAAAATAACATTTGAAAGGAAAATAGTTGTTCACAAACTCCAACTCTTGATATAAAAAAGAATATTGTAGACGAGCATACACACACATACTAAAAAGTTCATGCAAACCCTAAGATAAGAGAGAGGAATATAATAGCAACAAGTTCCCCTGATGCATATATAATCAATAATGAGGGAAGTGATATTTATATTCATGATTTGGTAATATGAATGTAGCAACACATAGAGACACGTCACATCTTTTTGGTAAATCTCTCTTAATTATAATGTAATGTGTTGGTGAAGATAAGCCATCAATAGGGTTAGCTTTCACATTTCCAATGCATCCAGTAACCTCACACACACACACAAACATTATAGTTCAGGAGAAGGATATTAAAATCCCAAAGCAATGAATATTTTTGTTAAGTTCCTAATAAAATTTTCTGAAAAACTAGTAATAAATGTTGATTCAAATAATTAAACATTTAAAATTTTTAATTGTAAATGAAATATTTAAATTTTAAATATAACTCTCGATTTTAATTTAAATTTTTATTTATAATTATTTGAATTAATATTTATAACTTATTTCTTAAAAAAAATTGTCAGAAACTTGACTGTTATAAATTCCTTATTATAAGATTTTATTGTTATTCACCCTTATAGTTCAAAGTATATCTATGCTCAACCTAAATGTCTTGAATTGAATTTGTGAAGTGAAAATTATGTATTATAGATTAATAGTGTTATCAGACAAAATTTAGGGAAAAAACCGCACTTGAGTGAAATCATAAATTTTCCCATTTGTATGTTATGCTATCATTTTAGACCAATTTAAAATTCTTTGACGAAAATACCGTCATCAATATATGTAACACTATTTAACAGTGAACATTTGAGTGAAAAACAATTTAAAGTTAAATTAAAATTTTGCATCTTTTTTTAAAAAAAAAGAATATATAAGTTTTATAATTGAGACGAATATTTTGCTTTATTCCCATGCCATCCATATCAAATTAGGTAATGTTTCAGTATACATATTTGGAATATCTAAATGTAGAAAGGCATAATAGTTTGAAAATATTTCGGTGCGCTTAATTTTCAGGAAATTATTGTCCCATGTATAAAGCAAATTTCCTATATACATTGAAAGTTAATTTTGATGTGAAATTAAAGTGACATACCAACTCTAATATTTCTAAAGGGCATAAATTATTGGGATACATCATGGTAGGTCTTTAATTAATTTTGCATCATAATCTCTTTGAAACAGAACATGTATTTCATAACATATAATTATCATTAGCCTAATTAAACAAATTGACAATATTTACCACATAACATTCAAGATTCATAAAGTCTCAAAATCCTATTTTTAGACATAAATCCTGCTTCTGGATTTGGCAGACACCGAAATGTTTGTAGACACAGTTTAAACCCGCGATGTGAGCATCACAAGAATGCCTTGGTGCCCCTTGAACCAAATGTTCTTGGCATTTTTAATTATAGTTATACCAACAAAACCATAAAGCTGAATTAACTGAGATCCATACAAACTGATTCAGGCACAATCTAATTAATGACAATAAAAACAAAAAACAAGAATAACATCGTTGTAGTAATAATATCTGGCAGGGAAGATTCAGTAACAGAATTTATGTTAGAATCATTAAGATTTAAGAAACATGTATACTTGAAATAGGTTCTAGTGAGATATGATGATCATAGGGTAGGCGGGTTTGGCCTATTTAACATTAACGTGTCTCCCATCTTTTTCTTGAGCACAGTCCGTGTTTTTTCATATCAGATTCATACACACAGAAAAATATTGCTCAAAGATTTCGGAGCTGCGTCATGCTGATGTCAATGCTATCATCATCAATAGTGGTGTACTTGTATTATGGATTGGGCTTGGCGTTTTGTGGATTCATGATACTGCTGAAATGGAATGATATAAGGTACACAAGAAAAGGTGTTCCACCAGGAACACTGGGTTGGCCTCTTTTTGGTGAGACTTCAGCTTTTCTCAAACAAGGACCTGATTACATGAAAGCTAAGAGAGCTAGGTACGTACTTACACCTTATATATTTTTCAATTTCTAGGTGGACCTTTATCTTTTTGTTGAGCATATAAGGCATGTCTCATGACTCAAAAAGTACTTATATATATATATATATATATATTATCTGCTAATAAGATCTTCATATGAGGATAAGTTGCATCTTTACCAAGACCAGCCTTCATTGGTGACCATTTTTATTATGTGTGTGTGGTATAGTTGAACTGGATGTAAAGTCGTTCTTAGATTATTTGTACATTCTCAGTATAGAACAAAGATTTGTGTTATCTCACTGGCCCCTCCAAACCTTTAAAGCAAAACAGTGGGATATAGATTAACTTTCAGTATACAGTAGAAAATGGCACTTTATGTTCTGCATTACCATTAAAATGTGATGTTTTTGTTGGCGTCTGTAAGAATTTTTTTTTTTTAAATTTCTGTGGTTGAGCAAAACCAAGAATTATCATGTTGAGTGTAGTTAAAGAAACCAAAAAAAAAAAAAAACAAGGACAAGGTGAGGCCCACTTGAGTAGGTTTTGTCTCAGCCCTTTAATTTCTTCCCCCTTTAAAGCATAGCATGCAGAATTAATTAGTCATTATAAAGATGTTAAAAAGATAACTAGAATATCTAAAGTCATTTTAAATTCCACTCAAGCTAAAAGCATTTTCTACCCATATGAAAAAGATAAAGGTACCTTACTATATATATATATACAGCCTTCTAAATGGAAAATTACTTCATCTCAATTCTCAAGTGCTTTTGTGTCCAATGTCACTTCAAATTGTTGCATAAGGGTGTGTCATGACTCATGAGGGTTGATTCATATTTAGGGGGGGGGGGAGCTACTATGATGAGATCTATAAGCACCCTAAACCATTAAATTTGTGCATCCAAAATATTAAAAGCCATTCACAACCCTTTTAGAGGCAGACAAAGGACTCAGAAACCCAGAAAGGTCCCAGATTCAGCATTGGACTTGAGAAGTATCCCCAGAAAATAATCCTCCTCCTCCTCCAACCTAGTAGAAGTAAAAAACAGACATAAACTTGGGAATTCAGAGACATAGAAACCAAATCATAAAGAAAGAGAAGGAAGAAGAGAAGCATAATGGAGGGTTTTTAATTTTTGTTTCTGAATTGTTAACCTGATATATATGCATAGCTTATCCACTATGTTGTTTCTGTAGGTATGGAAATATGTTCAAGACTCATGCATTAGGGTCTCCTACCATTGTAAGCATGGATCCAGAAGTGAACAAGAACATCCTCTTGAATGAAGCACAAGGCCTTATTCCAGGGTACCCTGTGTCCATGAGGAACATCCTAGGGAATAACAATATTGCTGCTGTTCATGGTGCTTTTCACAAACGTATTAGAGGTTCATTGTTGTCTCTTGTTGGCCCACCTGCAATTAAGGATCATCTTTTGACAAAAACTGACCATTTTATGACGTCCTTCCTTCACAATTGGGCTGGTCAAACTATAGATATTCAAGAAAAAACCAAACAGGTTATTCTCCAATTCAATCCTCATAACTCTTTACAAGAAGCACAGATTATGCATTCTTTATACTTCGTCTTTGAATCTGATGCAATCTGATACTCCATATTTTAGCACAAAACTCTCATATCAGAAGACATTATATGGCTCTTAAAAGTTATACATGAAAACTCTATTTTTTGTGTGTTATAAAGTAAATGTATGTGTCATGTCAGTATTATCCATGTCTTTCTTTATTCTTTGGTTCTGATTATTCAGCAAAGAGGAGTGATTAGAAGGTTATAACAGACTAATCCCATGTTTAAATTCCTTGGTTTTCTTTTTTTAGATGGCATTCTTTGTCTCCATGAAGCAGATTGTGGATGATGAACCAAAATCTTTCCATGAGGCATTTAAAGCTACATTTGACAACATATTGTTAGGAACGATATCCCTGCCAATTAAGATTCCAGGAACCAGTTACTACATAGGACTTCAGGTAATATATACTAAAAAATTCTCTATAATTTTCACTCTTCTTCCTTTTCCTTTATGGATGCCAATTCGACCAGTGTTAAATTGCTAAAATATTCAGGCGAGAGACAAAGTCAATGCAATTTTGATGGAGCTTCTAGCCAAAAGAAGAGCTTTTGATGCTCCTCATGATGACATTCTTGACAAGCTTTTAAGAAGTGAGGACCTCAAGTACAAACTTAATGATGAAGAAATAATTGATCAGATCATCACAATCTTGTACTCGGGTTATGAAACCGTGTCAACCACTACAATGATGGCTATCAAATATCTCCATGATAATCCAAAAGTTCTTCAAGAACTAAGAGTAAGTCAACACCTTTTGAACTGATAAAATTTCTACAGTCTCAAACTCAGTTCTAAATCTTAACCATGACTATTTATTTTTCCCTAATGTACAGGAAGAACATTTTGCAATCCTGGAAAGGAAAAGATCAGACCAACCACTAACTTGGGATGACTATAAGAAAATGAGTTTGACTCGTGCAGTAAACATCTCTTTACCTCATCCATGTTTAAGAACTAAGATTTTCTTCAAATTACGCATGTTTATGCTCAAGGCATTATTGGATCATGCAGGTGATTCTTGAAACCTCAAGAATGGCCAGCATTGTGAATGGGGTACTGAGGAAGACCAATACAGATTTAGAACTGAATGGTATATTTGTTTTGTCTACCCTTTTCATGATTGTTTCTGGGATAGCTCTGGTTTGTAACATAACAATTGACAATGGAATATGGATGTGTGATTATAACATGACAGGATTTAAAATTCCAAAAGGATGGAGAGTTTATGTGTACACAAGGGAGATAAACTATGATCCCTTCTTGTATCCAGAGCCTTTCACTTTTAATCCATGGAGATGGCTGGTGAGATTTCTTGATCAATGAACTTGACTAAAGAGGCTGTTTGGTACATGAAATGGAAATGGGAAAGGGAATTCCAACGGAAAGTTCTTTCCTGGAAACCATTTTACCATATATCAAACACAAACTTTCCATCAACTTTTACCCTTTTCTCAAAATCCTTGTCCATGTAGCAAACGCAGCCTATAAAGGCAAACACTTATATTTATTGATCAAATGAATGCAGGAGAGAAGTTTGGAAAGTCACCATCACAACATGTTGTTTGGGTCAGGACTTAGGATATGTCCAGGAAAAGAATTGGGAATTGTTAAAATCTCTATTTTCCTTCACCACTTTGTCACTAAATTTAGGTTAGTACTTTCTTACAATTTTTTTTTTTGGGTCCATATTTTGCCGAGGAAGGATACATTGATGTGGTTGATGATCGTAGGTGGGAAGAAGAGAACGGAAATGAACTTCGCCAATTTCCAAGAGTTGAAGCTCCAAATGGACTCAACATAACGGTCACAGCCTTCTAGAAAATCAAATATTGAAGAAAAAAAACTTCTGGCAAGGATCGATAAATTACAACAAAGACCTAAATCAAAGTTTTTGTTTTTTTTTTAAAAGTTGTATTTTGTGTATGAGAAAGTCAATGTATTAGGTTTCAAGACCTATGTTTGGCTGTTTAAAATATTAAACCGTGTATTCTATCTCTGTATTGCTTTATTTTGAATTTGTATACTCTCATAGTTAATATCATATCATTTGAATACTAATATATTTGTCCTTATTTAATTTTAGTATGAGTATTTCACCTCTACTACTGCAGTCATTTAATGATTTTTCTTTTCTTTATTTTAATTAAGTATATGTTTGACCACTTGACTTTATTTTTAAAAAAAGAATACTTATTTTTAGGACCTCTATCCATGGCTTCCTTACTCGTGCAAACTCTAGCTTTATGGCTGAAACTCTAGCCAGGCTCCAAGTTCTCCGTTTTGTTGTTGACCACGATTTCGATCTCCTAATAGTTGAATTTGATTGTAAAGCTCTTTTAGATGTAATTAACATGGATCACCAATGCCCTGCATGGAACTGCTCTGTCCTCGTTGCTGAAATCCAAGGGCTTCTATTTGATAATAAATTTTGGTCTTTTAGCTAGATTCCAAAGGCTGCGTAACTTGGCAAGTGAAAAGTGTTTATTTGGAGTAAAAAATTTATAATTGTAGTTAAAAATTAATTAAGGTTAGCAAACTAAAATTAGAAAAAATGTTTATAAATATAATATGATTTATGTGTAGATATTTTTTTTAAAAATCAGTTAAACAAATTAAAATTTGTTTAAATAATTTAATTTAAAAGTCAATTAAAATGTATAATGATAAAAATGAATATGAGTTTTTTTTTTATATATTTTTGTGACTAATTTGATATTTTTAGGAAAAAAAACATTAAGCTTAAAATTACAATTTTAAAAAATATAGATTATAAATATAAAATACATTAATAAGCCCTCTTTATTTTTTCCTTATCCTGTAGAAGTCTCCACAAATCCTTTCAACATCATCTCCCTTCTACACCCCTTCCCTTCATCTTCTTCTCCCTCTCTTGACTACCAACGCATCTGTCATCTCCCTCTCTACCTCAACAAATGAAGGGAAGCAATAAAGTTGGAGCAAACATGACAATCCTTGGCCTCCATGGATGGCAATGGTGGTGAGCATAGATACGGTTAGCAATAACAATGTTGGAGGTGACAACTGGTGCTTCTTGAAGTGAAGAAGGTATGAGTGAAGTGAGAGGATAGGGATTGGAGAGAGAAATTTGACAACAAATGCCCCACCAACATTCATAATGTGCGTCAAAAAAGCTTCTCAATCTAGCTTTATTAGAAATGCTCATTCTATAGCCAAAGCTGATTTAAAATTTTCTTATCTAAATGTGTTCTAATAAATTTTTTTTTTAATCTCAATTGAAGTTGGAGTCTCTCAAACCTCAATTAAAAAATAATCCAAACATACCCTACTCTTATTATAAGGGGGTGTGCCTCTCAGGTTGGGATTCTAATTGCCCTCCCCCATTATTGTCTTTGCTTTTAGCTAATCTCGAACAGTTAAGTATTGATGCAGTTACTTGATTTAGAATAATCTACATGTTTCCTTTTGACCTAAAAAAAGCCCAGTTCTATTATTAATTGTGGATATTCTTTTAATAGAAAAGAATAGGTTACGATGTTTGTTAAGATGGTTATTATTTTAGCATTGCTGCTGAACTTATAGATATCTTTAAAGGTCTTAACATTTATTGAAATAGAAAATTCAATAAAATTAACATTTACTCTAACTTAATTGAAGCTCTCACACCCATTTAGTATAACTTCAGTCAAAATCATTCTCTCTTAAATATTATCAATAAAATTAAGGATTTGGCTATGCAAGACTAAGTTGTTACTTTTAATCATGTTTTTCATAAATCAAACAAATGTGCGGACTGGCTTGCTTGTCATATATCTCATGATAATTTTGTTACTATGATTTTTGTAACCACCCTTAAGATTTATTCCTTCCGTCCTTATAAATAAAGTATTTTTAACCAAATCACATGTATCAATAAAAGTTTCTTATTTAGTCAAAATCCCATTAAATCATGATAATTTTTCAATTTTGCCTTTAATAATGTCAAGAAAAAACATAATCTTTGATCCCTATAATTTGATCGGGTTTTATTTTTAGTCCTTATAGTTTTTTTTAATGTTTTCAGTCCTTATAGGGATTAAAATACTGAAAAATAAAAACTATAAGGAACATAAAAATAAAAATCACCCAATTTTTTTTAAAAATTATAGGGCTTGAAAAAACTAAAAAAATTATAGGAACTACAAATAAAATTTGATGAAACTATAATGACTGATGATTTTGTTTTTTTTATTGTCAATTAATATTATAATGGTGATGGATAAAGTATACAATTAATATCTCTCCTTTTTTTTTAAGGCAAGGATAAAATTATTTAATTACTCAAAAATATCATGATATCCCTTATATTTAATAATATAATAATTTTTTTAAAAAATACTCTATATATAGAAGAGAAGGAGGAATAATAAGGACTGTTTGGCAGCCTGTTTTGAAAGTTTGGGAACAATTATCTATTCTTCTAAGCAAAAAAAATTATTTGATAATGTGTTTTTTAAAAATATTTTAAAGAATAAAAAATAAAATATTATTTTGAAGAATAAAAAAATAAAAATATTTTTTAGGAGTTCTGAAATTATTGTTCTAGAGTATAAGAAAGAATAAAAAATATATATATTTTTATTATTTTTTTAATTTTAAAAATATGTTTTACAAAACATTAATTTTTAAAATAATAAAATAAAAATAATTTCAAATACGCTCATAAGCTTTATATACTTGTGTTATTTTACATGAACTAATTATTGCCCCTCACGGTTTGCGATGGTTGCATTAAAAACAAACAACACTTGTCAAGAAATGAAACAATATGGACCTTCCATTATAAATGAGATTTGGCCAAACCAAAATGCTGTTGGCCTAAAAATAGGTTCTTTAGGACTAGCATATTAAGTTCAATCAAATTATATGATATTATTTTATCTTAAATTGTAAAATATTTTAAGATAAAGTCACGTATACTGATAAAATTTATTAAATATATTTTATTATTTTATTTTTTTAAAATAAAAATATAAATTTTTAAAAATATGATTTATTATGTACTTTATTTTTAAAAGAATATTAAAGAGAGAGAATATATAAAAAGATTAATATTTAAAAAATATTATTGATTAAATTTTATTTTTTAAAAATATATTTTGAGATATCGAATTTCTTTTAAAAATATTTTATAATTTATGACAGAAAGAGGATTATATGGTATTGAAGGAAAATATTTTTCTAAAAAAATTAACGAATTTCACCGGCAAATTATTGTTTTTGAGAGTTTCAGATTATGGAATGGAAGTAGCAAATTTCAATGCTAATTCACTAAAAACAAAACATCTTTAGTCGTTATTACTTATTATATGGTATAGAAGGAAAATATTATCTTAAAATTTTTTTAGCAAATTTCACATGCAAATTCTTGTTTTTGAGAGATGCAAATTATGAAATGGAAGTAGCAAATTTCTATACTAATTGATTAAAAAAATTCTTTAGTTGATATCTTGTTTTTTTTTAATTCAATCTTTAACACTTTAATGCCATTCTCCCCACAAATTTTTGAGAGACAAAATATTGAAATTGAAGTGAAAAATGTGAGAAGACTTTGGGTAATTATACAAGTGTGGTTAGTGGAATGAGCCGCATGGTTACAAGGCATATTAATTAAATATGACAAGAGTCAAGAGGGAAGCAATCATAATGATAATAATAAAAATAAAATCACACTGTTAATTAATTAAAATGTTGAAAAGCAGATTCGAAATTGAAAAGAAAAGATGTTGAGAAGTGAATAATAAAACCAAAAAGTTGCATGGATTCCGGTGTGGCCGTGCGAGCCTTTCGAGGTCTCGCCGCCCTTAAAATCAGGGGCAGCGCCGCTTCCTTTCTTCTTTTCTTTCTTTTGTCACTTTATGTTCTTCTTAATTCTTTCTAAGTCCCTTCATAACTACAACAACTCCTCTTATTGTAAAACTCCTTTCATCTTAAATTATAATATATTTTTAAATAAAATTTTATATATTAATAAATTTTATTAAATATATTTAATAATTTTATTTTTTAAAATAAAAATATAAACTTTTAAAAATATCTATTATTTAATATATTAAAAAAAACATAAATTAATTATAAAGAAAAAAATGATAATATTAAAATTGATACATTTAATAAAACTTTAATTTATTTAAAGTGTATTATATTTTAAAATAAAAAAATTTTCAAAAATTTTCTATAATTTAAAATGGAGGGAATATTATTCAACATGTATCATATATACACGTACACCATATATCAATTACAAGTCGATATAAAACATGTACATCCTCTTATTACAATAAGTATTTGGTTCATAATTCATAAATTCATATTTCTTTTATTAAAAAATATAAGATATTTTTTGAAGAGTTAGATGTTTAAAAATGTAAGGTATTTTTAGTCTTTCGATGTGTAATTATTTCTTTTTTTAAAGTGTTCATATTGATAATGATTTTATATTTATTGTAGGGTGTTTAATAAGGATAAATATAAAAAATAGGGTTAATTAAAAAATAGGTAACTATTTTATTAAAAAATGAGATTTAGTTAAAAATATTTTATATTTTTGAATGAATGAAATGTTTAATATGAGGATCTTCTTGAGAAATTGTAAGAAATGACAAACTCACCTTACTTGCTTTGGGAAAAAAAAAAAATATAAGTAGGGCATGTACATTTTGTAACTTTGCACCACTATTTTTTTTATTTCACCCTCTTTGACTAAATATAAAATATTTAGGTTTAAAAAAATATTAGATTTGTAATATTTTAATTATTAAAATAAGATATAAAGTTATAAAAGGTGTATTTGCATAAAAAACCATGTCAATGTGTTTAATATAATTTTAAAAAAAATTAAGCTACTTGTATTATTACAATTTTAGTTTTAGTATTATTGTTAAAGTATTAATTTTTAAATTAAATTATCTTACATCCTAGTTCGAGATTTTGGCTCTATTACTGTCTATAAATGGTAAATA